TTTCGTTTACACTTCAAATGAAATGCAACAACAATTCCTCTTACTCCAACTCAAAGAAGCGGAAAAAAGCTTGGAAAACATCACTACCAATCAATTTACAACTGCATTTGACATTCACACGTTGAAACCATGGAGTCGCTTTATGTTAAGTGTTCCCACAAATATCAAAAAAAACTTTCTCATCCTCAATAGCGCATCATCAAACGACTTACAGTACTTCAACAATCACTTTATAATGACTCCTTAACAATACAAATAACAAAAAAATATGTAGTTCCTCAACGATATGACTTCTGGTAGCGCGCACGTGCTCCAGAACCTCCAAATTTCTTTGGCTCCCTTCTTCGTGGGTCAGCAACAAGCAGATTCCTGTCATAAGCGACTAACTGTTCCTTCAGTTCTTTTTTACTTTGTTCATCAACATATTTCTGGTAGTAAGCTACGATTGCCTTAGCCAGAGCTTGCCGAATAGCATAAATCTAAACCATTTAAAAAAATAAACCAGAACATCTGCACAAATTGAAAAACAGCAGAGCTTGAAGACGCTCCACATGCACTAAACGTCAATATGCTGCAACTGCTTAGACGGAAATTACAACAACGCCTCGTTCACTCATAAAAGTTACTAAGAAAAATGAAAAGCCCAAAGGTCAAGGCTGTTTAAAACTCAATAAAAAAATGAGTTGTGAAAATGCATGTAAAATTCTGCCAGCCGCCAAGCAATGAAAGTGACCAGCCCAGACAAAATTTAAAAAAAAAAAAACAAAACAAAATCAAGCTGAGGCAGGTAGAAAAAAGTCTTAGACTTGAAGCGCACATAAAAATATAAAGTTAAAATTGATCGCCCTACAGATTAACGACTGACGATTGATTCAATTCTGTGGCTTATTAAGTTCCCGATAGCGAGGTGCAGCCAATACACAATAAAAGTATTATGAAAAGAAAACGCTATTTACCTGAGCTACGTGACCACCTCCTTTCACGCGAATCCGAATATCTACATCTTGGTAACGTTCTTTTCCCAATATGAGTAACGGTTCCTAAAAATGCACACAATAAAACAGGAGGAGATTATCTTGATTAATGATGAAAGGAAGAGGATTATTCACAAAAAAAGACCCTATGAATTCTTGAAACATCTAATTTCAGGCTCACTGAAGTACTTGAATTACCAAAAACGCGCACAAATGAACAAACACCATCTGATATGACTTTTACAAAGAAAAAATTATTTGTTATAGAACTAGGTGTAACCAACTGGAAAGCAAAGTGTATCCAAATTCGCAAGAACCAAGCATACGAAAGCATTTTAAATGCTGTCCACTGAATGCAGAAAATATTAAATTCCCTACGTTAGCAACAGACGAGCTGAAATACAAACGAAAGAGGATTTCTCGGAGAACTAAAATACCTGTAATTTAATGCGAAGTATTTCCGGTTGCAGATGCTCCAAAGGACGTCCATTCACCTGAAGTTCACCTTTGTTCAAAGATAAGATATAATTAACTAACAAAGAGGTAAATCCTAAAAGGTAAACAACGTAATACAGCCTGATTTTTCAAGAACTTTAAGCAACTATTCATCGACAAATGAAAATATTTTCAATAAAACCAGCGACCAAACTTTCATAAGTCAGACTTAAACTCCAAATGTAATGTTTATCAACGACTGCAACCATATGCAAAAGTCCTCCAAAGCTAAATAAACCTTTCGCAATAGTAACAGAGCCAGAAATTAGAAGAGTACTAGTAATTCAAAGGCTCACCTTTATTAGTCCTCTACCCTTCTTGCAGTACGCGACTGCAGTTGCTGTCTTCTTCCTACCAAACACTTGTACAGACTGTATGGCAGTCGCAGTCATTATGAAGCCAAGCTGCAATACATTAATTCACCAGAAGCCTTGTGTAGGTGTAAACGATACTATATACAAAACAACGCTATCCGTATTACCACCAGTCATAAAAACTACTGAAGCAACACGTATTGGTGCGCAGCAACTCACCGTATGATGGAATCAACGTTGCAAAAAGCAAAAATAGCTTCCGGGCGAGATCCAGCGAAGAACAGCGACGGACTTAGAGAATTACAATAAAAACAGCAATTAACCTGTGCCAAAACTAATATTTAGCAGCCAAAACCCTAAGCAAAGTAATGCATTAAAAAGCTAAACTAAAAACAATTCAGTAATAAAGACGGTCACAGTAAAGCTAAAATCAAGTAAGGCACATCAACAAAAAAATGAAAACCTGGAAAAAGCTAATACGAAAAAAGCCATCGGCAAGTTACCATTGCCTTTTAGGCCGCCAGTGTCAACGGTTGGCAGAACGCCAAAAAGAGTCCTTCTGAATGTTCAAATGCCTGAAGAGTACAACGGTCTTCTAACAGCTAAAAATTAAAGCGCACTGCATTGTACCCTACTGTAATCTGTTTATCCATTTGTCTGATCTTGAGAAGAAGGATTATTTATTGCTGAACGAGCAGGAGGTGGAAAAAAATTTGTCAAACTTCGCGGAGAAGTAACAGCGAAATGCAGAGTCCTAACAGTGTTAGGGGGTAGCTCTAGAATGAATAAACTGGAAGAAGGGAACGAAGCATTATTTAACGCTCTCTGTAGGTAAAATCGCCAGATCATGAAATGAACTTGTAACTTAGGAAATTTCATTAATATTGTAGGATTAATATTTGTGCTAGGTCAAGAACTAAGTGCTTGTTACCAGGAGATGAATCAAACAAGCAGGTTGAAACTGTGGAAACTAGGGATTATGGTTCAGCTTCCACTAAATGAGTAATAAAAAATTTGTTACTTTTGCCACGACTGAGTGATTCGTGAGATCATTGCATATCCCTGAAAAGCCAGTGATATGGGAGAACTTTATCCAGATCCGTCTCAGCAATTTTATTAAATCTGCAGAACAAGGTGCAGGAACTAACTTAACCTTTATCCAAATTTCTTTTACGTAACGATATGCACGACAGTCACGAATTGCTCCTTTTGAACAGATAAGAAAGACTCTACAGGCTGATTTACGTTTGAAAGCCCAACGTATAAACTGAGTCTGTTTAGTTTGCGTAGTGTACTCCACAATTAGCCTAAAAAGGTTGGGTCAATTGGTCTGTAAACTTCTTTCCTAAGTGGTTGAACAACCGGATTGAAGAGTATTGTAAAGTGACTAAATCTGTGTAGGCTGCAATCATCCGTTTTTTTTAAAAACTAATGACTGCTTACTGTGACAGTAAATTAACCGTGGCGCTTCCTAGTCGCTCAGAAAGTGTAGATTCTAAGAAATTTCCAGTAGTGACACTTAGTCTAAACCTTCGATCTTCTGATAAAACAATGCGCTCTTTCAGCTTTGCAATCTAATTCTGTTATCTGTACTTTACCTTTCGGCCTTTCAATATATTACACTTACTTTATTCCTAAAGAATTGGTGAGCAGGTATCTCCCACAGTTCGGTACTTGCAAGTGTTATCGAAATCAGTACATGAAGGTATAAATTAAGTTAAGCAATGAGAAATGAGCAGTGGGGCACTACTTATCTTGCCAAAACTTGTTTTCATTCTCTGCGAAGAAGAAGAAGCAGTGTCAGTGAAAAACCTGCTGGATTTCCTCCGGAATGAGCTTTTTGATCGTTGTCTTTACGAAGGTTGTTTCTTGAAGGTGTAACCTCCACTTCAGCCTGACATTTTTGAAATTACACATCGATGATTGATTCGTTGGGGAGGCTATGAAAAAGTCCTTGAACTCTTTAATAACTGTTCTACCCAAAGGTGAATTTCAAACCACTTACACCTTAAAGAGGTTACAGCCGGATATATTTGAGCCCAAGCATCCAAGCAGCAAAGGAATGAAATGGTCTACTTTTTACTTCCCTCACTGTGACCGCAAGACCGTACCATACAGTATCTTTCCAAATAATTCATAGACAGCAGCAACACTACTCATCAGGAACTTAGGAAGTAACTGACAGGCTGCTGCGCTGAAACTGACGGCTACTGGCAAGTGCCATTTCTTCCTACGACAGCATCAAAATCTCCTGCAGCGTTACAATTCGCAAAAACCTGACGAAACTTCCAAAAGCTGCAGCGCCTGAGAAACAACTTCCTGAATAGTTGAAAGTCACTACGATGTGCTAGGCGTGGTGCACGATCCTCGCAAGCCTGGCTATAAAGCCTACGGCGCACGAAAAAGTACAAGAATGGAAGTCCCGCAGAGATTTCGCAGTGAAAGCTGAAAGGCATTAATGTGTCATCTCCGATCGACGGGCTATAGCTCATTCTTCCTTCTCCCCTCCTCCAGAAGTGATATCAAACATTCATGTCGTTGCGTTCGAATGTCACTACCTCGTAAGTGGGACAAGTCCGTAACGCAGAATACACTTTTGCCCTTATTTTGTTGCGGAACAATGGCAAAAAAACAAGAAGAATACAAGCTTTTACTTCAGCTAAATTCATACCAAAAGTCCTCTATTTCAAAACACGTAATACAACCAGCAAACGAAATGAAAGGAACAAAGGCATAAACACCCGATGGCTCAAGGAAATCCTCATCGTGTTTCCTAAATTAACCTTGACAAAAAACCGGAAGAGAATAAAAAAATTGTCCCGCATGCCTGTAAGGCGAGCAACATCTAAACTTCACAGCAGGAATGATGTAAGAAATTAGAGAAAAATAGAGTTACTCAGGCCTATTATACTGAAAAAACACAATGTGGCTATGAAATTGAAAAGGTTCGCAAGACGGAATATAAAAATCTGTCAGGCAACATGAAAACTACTCTACTGTAAGAAATGAGCAAGCTAAGATTGAGGTCATCACGCAACTTTGCCGACCCAAATTTAATGAAGCGGTGGAAAAAAAAGGAGAAAACCGAAAAGCGCACCATGTATGAACAAAAACAGGTAACGTCTTCAAAAACCTCTGTCTTGAGCGATGAAAGTTTCACGTAATAACTAGCATTGAAGATGGCTACTGGGACACTGGAAGTAAATCAAGTGCGTTATCAAAAACGTCCAAGCGAATCAAAGAAGTTAGGAATACGAAAACGAAAAGAAAAGTAGGACGAGAATATCATCGAACTAACATTTCCATAGTACCAGTAAGTCAAACCGTTCTTCAATTCGTGATGAAAAAGGCTCAATGTATTTTAGAAATACAACACAGTGCACGTTAAATCAGCAGTTACATAGAATTTTTTGAACGATTTCGTCCTTTAAAGCCGCAGCTGAAGCTCCAATGCTGCTATTAAATCCTGATCCAAATCAGGGTCAAACTCTTCAACTGCACGATCCAAAAAGTCCAAACCGTTCCCTCCATGAATTTCGTTAAGGTGAGCATATAGTTGACCACAGCTATGTGCCTAAATTCATATAATAACTCAAAACACCAAAAAGAATTCATGCTCTCCTGACCTTCTCAACTACTCACCGTCATGAAGCAAACCCAACAAAAATGGGTTTTGCAGAACTCGCACTGCATGTGATTGCATCCTCTGTCTTTTTGTATTGCTGCATTACACTTTGGGCAGAACTGTCGATTATCAGGGTCCTCTCTAAAAAATCAAAAATAATTTCCTTTCCTAAAATCGAGCCTTACTTCCCTAAGGAGGACGAGCAGTAAAACCCTTGAGTACTCAAATTAAGCCTCCTTTTAAGTCGACCTGTTCCAGCCTCCCATCAATATTTATAACAAGTGAGAAATTATTACTCCATCCAATGTCGCAATGACGAATCAACATTGGACTTCAGCTGACTGTATAATTCGCAGTTCATATTTCTATGGTCTTCGCTGCCACATCGCATGCAATACACTGCGCTGCAAACATCACAACTTCCCAGCCGTTCTTCCCCTGTCACCTAAATCAGGCAATTCCTTTGCAAGTTTTTACTCCATAATCAGTGTTCTTAATTCAATCGCGTTCAAAGCCATTCAGTTACCCTAATCACGCCACGACAATCCGGTACCCGACAATAGCGATATCCGTTCGAATTCCGACTAACCAAAAACGACAACGCGGAATTTGCAAGAATTTCAAGATGCTCAGAGGTATCCAAAAAGAATTCGAACTGCCCTGCATCACTCAAATTTTCTCCCTCATCCCCGTCCAATAAAGCTCGCTATAAGAACCAGAGAAACAATTAATAATGGCAACAACAAAATCTCTTCAAGGAAACTTAAAAGGCTCATAGAGTGAAAAATAAATGACGGACAAAAAATATGTTTATAAAGTTAACTAGAAACTATGAAATTTATTGAGGTAACTAACGACTATATCTTTAAAAGCCAGGGCTCTACAGCACTTCGCGCAATTTATGGGGAACTCGTGCTGCTTTAACACGGAGTTAACCTAAAAATGAGTTACATATGCGAAAGAGGATATTAGGCGCATTAAATCTACCACAAACAGTAAGTTTCAAAAATCACCTGATGCAAAAAACAGGACTTGCACGCATAGTGTCCACAGCTTTCAAAGCATAACCAGGCAGGATCAACATAATCTAAACAAACAACGCACTGCGGAGGTACTCGATCCTCTTGTTGTTTTTTACTTCCTTTACTGATCTCCACAGAAATTGTACGAAGCACATCCTCAAGAAGTAAGACAGAGTATTTTATAAAAGCTGCTAATAAAGTTACATGAAACCCAATTCTTGCGCCCCATCAAGCATTCCCAGAATAAAAAAAAACATCTATAAAAAGACTAGTATAAAATGTAATTCCAAACCAAAAATTCAAAATGTTTGGATCGCAAGTTTTCACAGTAACCTAAAAAGACTACAAGTGAAAAAAGTAGAAAATTCTAAACGAAGTAATTCTAGGTGAAGAAATTAGAAGCCATTACAAAACACGCTTTTTGGCTGAATATAATAACGTCCTCAAAATTACTGACAACAATGTGAGAGCATAACTTTTTTCGCAAGCATCAAAATCAGTGCAGTATAAGGTACATTTCCCAAAAAGTGAAAAAAAAATACCACAGTACCAAAACAGCTTGATAGTCCTCTTCAGAGCAATCAACATGTAATTTGTGTTTGATAAAATCCGGCACTACTTTCACTTTGTCTCGGAATATTTCTTGTCCAGCACTTGTAACAAAATCCATAAATGCTGTCATTGTTCCAGGTAGATAATTGGGAGGACTGACGTCAATAGTAAATATCGTATGCCTAAAATTTCAAGCGTTCTATTTAAAAAAAACAAGTCATTCACAAGAAAAAACCACTACAAGCTCGCCTTGTAACACCAGTGTAAACGCTACAAAAACAAACTTTTCCAGAAACTGTTGTATCATCCCCTTTGCTAAAACCCTCGAAGCATGGTCACCCTGTAACTGCACACACTGTTTGAAAAAGTGTGTGGTCACTACAAGTCTACCTTCTCTTTCGGACTCAATTCGGCGCAAGAACTCTTGACCAATACTGAAAAAATATAAAACTGATTACTTTTCATTGTCTTTCAAGACAGTCTCAAAACGAAAGCCAAAGGAATCGAACAAGTTGATACAAACTTGGTGAGGAGAATATTACTCCCAAAATCACATTTATTTTCCAGAACTGTACAGTCGATAAAATCCCCATCGATTAAATGGTCTAGCTTAGACTTCACACGACACAGGTGCCTGAAAACTCAATATCGAAACAGTAAAAAACCACAGAAAAAAGTACAACTTTCATACTTATCTAGCAAGAAACGAAATAAAACATACTATAAGCAGTCCTAGCAGACAGGAAGAATTGATGTTAATGGTAAAAAGAGATTAACAAACTAACTCGTAGTCTTCACCATTAACAAAGACCATTTTCCTCGAACCAAC